GAATAAAGAGAATAATTTGTGAAATTCCTTTAGGGATAGTATAATATTAACATTGAACTCTCCACAGTCTGTGAAAATATGCTTTGAGACCATCAACGTTCTCGTTAAGTGCTTTTAAAACATGTTTACATTTATTAAAAAAAAAATAACTATAAGAATGCAGCAACACATTTCATATTTCATGCAGCAGGTGAGTTTTATCAGGGTCGGAGCAAAACTCTACAGGACAGTGGCCCTCCACGACCGAGTTTGCCCATCCATGCTTTAAGGGGTTCGGTAAAACTCAATGGGGTCAGGTGAGGCATGAAAGATGTTGCCTCCTGCTGTAATTTTAACTGCTGGTGTCACTGTTGAACAGTGTCACTCTTCAGAAAAATACTTGTGATTTATAATTTTTTTACTGTCATATTTTGTAATATTTTTCTTTGTACTGTGAATTATTTTCTCATCCCCTAAAACACCCTTACAATCCTAGTTACAACACTGGACAACTGTATGAACCAACAAAGTAGGGGTGGGCGATATAACCAAAATCTTATTTCACGGTATGATATATTTTATTTCACGATAACGATATTGTCACAAAGCAAGGCCAGACACAACAGGTAAGTGCAAAACAGGATGGTTTATTGACTGGGTAAGTGGATGACTGGAATAGGTGAGTGAAAGGCAGGTGAAAGTCAACACAGTGAAAGGTTCCAGGGTGCTTATCTGAGTTCTGACGGAGAGGATCGTATGCCGGTTACGTTGGAGATCGTGGAGCCGTGTACCTCGATATAGCTATTTTTGTTATTAAAATGAAGAAAAAGAAGCAAATTACAAGCACAACAGAACAAATACATATTAAATAAACTTTTTATTTATTCAGCTACAGTAGGCTAGGTTTATTTAACATGTAGTAAGAAATATGACAGAAATTGAATAAAGTGTATAAATAAAATACTGCATAGTCTTGACTGTATCAATCAAACATGATTAACATTAATAATGACAGACAGCAGCAGGTAAATAAGGCTGCTGTCCCTTTAAGACCAATCCAATATACTGAAACACATCCGGTTTTCACCCAACTGTTTTACATTTATTTAACACATAACCGACTGTGTTTACTTGAATACTCCACACGACGGGCATTATGACATAACTGTGCGTATTTGACCATTCAAGCTCAACAAAACACGAAAGAGATCTGTTTTCGTGATCGCATGCTGTCGAGAGAGGGGCTTTCAGTGCGCACGCTTCGGCTGTGTGTCAGTCAGTGCGAGCACCGCATTGAGTTCCTTTTCACTGTTTATTGCACATTGCGAGCAAGTGTATTGAGGGCTCTCCTCTAGAATGTCATCTCCAACAAGTAGCACTGGGACATCTGATTCATTTAATTTTTTTTTTTTTATTGAATTAAAATGATGTTGTTCATTTGGCTGTTTCAATTATAAATAAATTAATGAATAAATAAATAAATAAATAATAGACTTCCCAATGCTACTTGAAAGAGAGGACACAGGTGAGAGTGTGCTCAATACACCCTCTGCAGGTTCGTAAAGGTGCATGCACTCAAACAGTATCTGTGCACTCACATGGCCTTCAACCAAATGGAAAGCATTATGCTCATTTTATCAACAAAAAACAAACAAACAAAAAAAAAAAAAACAGTACATCTGATTACAACACTGCCCAGGTCAGTATTATGGGTGTGTGTGATTTCATTTTTGAGTTAACTATCCTTTTAATTGATCCCACCTTTGGTATTGTCAATAGCAATAGCAATATAGCAATAGCAATAAGGAGGACAAGTGGGAAAAAAATCTAGATAATCAGTGAAACAGAGATGCCATGGCAAACAGGGGTGGGGGGAAACAATAGTGTGGCCTACAAAGTAAATTAATTAATTTATTTATTTATAATAAATAAAGAGTTATTAATTATTAACACATTAAAGAGTTTGTTATAATCGCACAAATTAACACAGTTTTTTTCCCAAACCCTAGAGATTATGGTTCATATAAAATAGTGCCTATGAAAAACAGTGAGACCAGGCTGAACATGTACTGTATATGTAACATTTGTCTTTCAACAAAACTAGTGCAATGAACATGCTGATATGTTTGTCTGGGAGCTGGGGTCTGTTCACACTCTAACTTGACACAATTTGCTCAACATCAGCATAATCAAATGCAGTCAAACATCAGAGGCACACAGGCTGGGTAAATACCTGTCATCATACCTGAGTGCGCTAGATAACATTTACAGATGTAAACACAAACTAGCATAACACAGGAAAGGGAACACAGAATAGAAACTCATTCTAGCACAGAATAAGAAAGTTCAATAATAATAATAATAATAATAATAATTTATTTAATTATTTATTTTTACTGTTTCTAACATTTCTAGTTCATCATCATACGGTTTCTGAAATCCAGCTTTTAGTTGCTCATGTGAAGTGCTCATTGTCACAGTCTTTCTGAACATGTCTTTGTTTCCTGGCAGAATGCTTAGGACTGCTACACACTAGGCTCCTGGAAATAGAGCAGAAGTCAGCTAAATTAGATTTAGGCTTCTGTCTTTGTTAAAGTATTTTCAGTTGTGTGTGCCATATGCATCACGTTTAGTAAACTGAGTGTGGGTGGCCTGTAGGGTTGGGAATCGAAAATCGATTCCGATTCCAGAATCGGATACTTAAGGTCAGGAATCGGATACTTGTTGTCAAATTAAAATTTCGATTCTGCCTATCGATTCCTATGTGCTTTTTTTTCTTCATCTGTGAGGACTGGACCTAGCGATCTGCCAGGACCTTGCTCGCTAATCTAAGCGCTCCAAAGTTTGGCTACATTTGCGATCAGAAGCCAAAAACGCTAAGTATAATATCTGTGATAGCTAAACATGTTGCAAGAGAGGTGTCACCACCAACATGACAAAGCACTTTAATTTAATAGATCGTTAAAGATCGCGAACGCGATTCAAACACCAATGTGATCCTATTCCTAAATTACAATGATTCGTCTGTTTCATTCCTCAACCTATCACGTGTGCAATCAATGTTGTGATCACTTGGTTCATCCGTGCAGCGTACGATCACACCAGTCAGTGTGATTTGAGCATTTAAATCTGCGTTCGCGCTGCCGCTGACCTAAAGAGAGCAGCTGTCATCTGTCATAAACTAAACAGCTTCACAGTCTTTTCAGCCACACAGTATCATTATTTCTGTGTTACAACTTACAACCATTCAAATCACAGAAGAACTGGGATAAAAGTTTATAGTTCAGATATAATTATTTAATCACATTGGAATTGCAACTGGGAATCGAAAAGAATCGGAATCGGAATTGATAAAATGAAAACGATACCCAACCCTAGTGGCCTGTGGATGTGACATCTGAAACTAGGTTATAATTATTTATTTTATTGTTTATTTGACAGTGACAATACAGAATCACATTATACATCACACATCATACATCAGCTGAAAGAGTAATTAGCTAGTCAAGTGGATTTACTTATTGCAGAGTTAACAAAAGTTATCATGTTCCCTTGTAATGTTCAAAGCCGATGTCATATCAAACGTCAGTAAACCGGGAATATTTTTAAAATGAGCGGTTCATGAATAAATTCGTACGCCATTACCTTCATGATGTGGAAATACATATATATATATATATATATATTGAATTCTCAGCCTTTTATGAAAATTAATTCTGCCAACTGTCTGAACTCAAGGAACCTATGTTGCAGACGTGGCTCATTTCTCTGAAGGGCTACAGAAAACAATCCCTGAATCATCAAACACGGATATAAGGTGAAGTTTAGCCTTGTAGTGTATAAAACTGATGATATAAATACAATTGTCACAATAAGCTATGGAATACCTGAAAGACTGAATCAATGCAGAACTTGTTCTTGAATCATGACGCTTTAGATCATAAATCAGAATGAGTTCAAAATGTATAATATTGGGCCTGAACACACTTTAGTAATTATTATAATGAACGTTTAGTAAAGTTTTATTATACATAATTATTATCTTTATGTGGGGTTGGGGTTTCCCATGAAACACAAAGTTAGTTATTATCAAAAAGTAAATTCTGCTGTTCTCCATAATATGAAAATGTAGGGTGATCACTAGCATTCAAATTCAGCTTCAGTTTTGCGTGTTCATTCTAAAAAAAAATAACAAGCAAAAATGTCAAGCAAATAACACACACACTGTAATAGTCTCAACCTCTTTCCATCTATACTAATACATTTATCTCTCTAGTTCATCTTCTTTCACTCTAATGGGAACATGTCCCAGAAAGCCTAGTTACAACTCGCACAGTTCTTGCCATCATGAAATCCTATTCTCAGCCTCAGACAGCATACCTACAAACTTCTAGGATTAAACAGTTGAAATACACCCAATAGTTCCCTTTCATGGGAACTTCGAACTCTAGGGATCACTATGGGGAACGCATTGTTGTGACCCGTATCTGAAGCATACATTGAAAAAACACCAACTCGTTGGCCGGCGACAGCCATGACGTCACTAGGGGCAATCGGCGTGCACTGCGACCGTTTTTTCCAAGGGAAAAGCTCCGCTCTCATTTGTCTCTCTTTTCGAGGAAAGAGGGGCAGCTTTGAAGAATTTAGTAGCGTGTAAACGGAACTTTATATTCTGCTTAGTTTTTTCATTTATGTCATTTAAATAATTGGTTCTTATTACTTTTGGATGGATAGATTTAAAAATCTTTATATTTTTCACAGTTTTTCTGTAAAATCCCAATGTATTAAGTTGCCTGCTTGCCTTCTCTTGCCACACATAGCCTATGTTAAACTGTGCAATACTGCATACATTTTCTGCATATTGCTTGCCGTGTGGCCAAACTATGTTTGAAGCTTCCTGAACATAAGGTTGCACCAATTATGAGGACAAACACGGGATAGAAAAGATTTTAATAGACATAGATCAACTCTCTACCATATGGTGCATTGAGTGGTAGACTATTTGTGAAATGGTAATTTACCTTATAGTGTTGTCCATGCGGGACACAGTTAGGAACGCAGCCAGGTTAGCAGTGTAAGATGAACACACAATCAATGTGAACAACCACCAACTGCCCATGACTATCCTCAATGCCACAGACCCCACCACTGAATCTCCACCTGTGACAGATAACACAAAAATGCTTTAGAATATGTAAATGTACTTTGAAATGCTAAAAAATGCACAAGTAGTGTAAGAAGGGACTTTGAATCCTATTATATTCATTGTAACATACATATATATATTTTTTTAAATCACCCTTGTTTTTTTCCAAAGTTTTTTCTTTCTTTCTTTTATAATCTGTAAAATACAAATACACTTTTACATTATTAACCTTAGTCATTAGAATAAGCCAGAAATGGCACCATTATTAACATGCCATCAGTGTAGCTAATTCCACATGTTTAATGTGTGAGCAGTGGAACAACTGACTGTGTTAACTGCTGCAAAATTTTCATTGTGTTTTGTACAATCTATTGTAAATTTCATATGGTGGCAAGCTACAGAAATACGAGATTGAAACAACTAGCTGTTAGGTTTAAACACGTTGGTGGGCAGCATGCCAGGCATTAATAGAGGGAGCTGGGGGTTTAGCATGCTAGTTTCTGAGGTAGCCGTTTATTCCATTTTGTCTCTCGGATGAGAACCAGCGTATCCTTTGCCTTATTTAAAGGCACCTTTACACTGTTTTAGTGCACTTCTCTGTATGCTCTATGCATTTATGCTGGTTTTGAAATTGGAATTCAAGTATATGCAGTTTTAACACTCCAGTGAACAAGGGTAGGCATATCTGATAAAAAAAAAAAAAGTATATCACAAATTTAACATGCTGCATAAAACACTATTTACACCTGCTTGCAAGCCTTAAAGGGGCAGTTCACCAATTTACTCACCCTCATGTTGTTCCAAATTTATAGGGGCTAAAGGCACACCTTAAGGAAAATTAGCTTTTTCTGAATTAATGAACACTGATGAAGCAAGACATTTTGTGGTAAAAGAAATCATAAAAGCAATATAAGTAAAAAAATAAATAAATAATACAAATAAATAAATAGATAGATAGATAGATAGATAGATAGATAGATAGAAGAAGAAGAAGAAGAACTGACCGGTATAGTGAACCACAGATGTTTAGAATAGTGCTACATTGAGTTTTTCTTTTGCCATCTAGTGGATTCGAAAAAAAAAAATCAAATGTGCCTTTAGCCTCATCGTACCCTATGCATTTCTTTCATCTTTCACAGGATAAAGTAAATCATACAAGTTGAATTGACATAAGGCTAAGTATATGATGATATAATTTTCAATTTTTTGGGTAAAGTATTCATTTATTATACTATTTATTGATTAATAATGATTCAGCCACAACTTATGTTGTTTATCATTATCATAATGTGTTTTATAATTACCTGAAGTTCAGTCAGGAAACTTTAGACTGGCACAGCTCGGTCTTTGTCATGTAATCTGCTAGCAATTACATCGTATACTACATAGTACAAGCAGTTTTGGCTCAGCTGTATCTTGTTTGCTCAACATTTAAATAGTCTGGTTCAGTGTTTGCTGTAAGCCAGTCCTGTAGCATGCTATCAGAGGTACTCTGAAACCCTCCACCTCCCCCAGCTCCACTTGTCTAGATCAGCTACAGGAATATTAGGTATGTTTATTTGCGCAGCTGAAGCATTTGTGTATGTCTTGGTAGTAGCAAATCATCATACTTGCTCTGAAGCAATAACAGTAGCAGCAACAACAACTTATGTAGCAGATTTATTCCACCAAGACCAAATAAATTAGCATAGTCATACCAATTAACATGCTAAAACTACTCAGATAGTGGTAGTGACTAAACTGCTTAAATTATATTTTTATGGTGCTTTGCTGTCACCTGGACACATTCACACACACTTTCACATTCAAGATTAAAAAACAAACAAAATTCTACAAAATATCTCCTTTTGTGTTGCATGGGTGTTGAATGGGTGAATAAATTATTTTCATTTTTAGATAAACTATTCTCTGAATATCTGCAAATACTAAATGTTTACGGCTCCAAAAGAATGCTTTCATTAGCAGATGCTTACATGTTTAAGAGGGAGCAATGTATTGACACTCCAATATCATCAGGCAGCAGCTTTAAGTCAAATCATCACCTGATTCTCTGGCTGCACTTCTAAGCTGATAAGTTGTTTCTGAAGGTGCCTTTGAATGGACACATGGGAGAGGAATTCTTTGAAGTACCTTGTTGTACAAAAGCTCCGTAGACAATCCATATAGCACTATGCAATGAGTTAGACATGGATGAAGTGTGATGGGCTCCTGGAGGATTCTGGGAGCGGAGCATCTGCATCCGTGTCAGCAGGAAGATCAGAACGCCCACCACAGGAATGGCAGCTGCGATACAGGCCCACACAGCCAAGTCAAAAGGGGCAAACAAGGAAAAAATGTTGATCTTCTCCTCGGGCTTGCGATGTAGGATCCCTACAGAGTAGTCCATGTAGCGCTTGCTGAAGTCCACTATGTTCTCTCGCTCTGGTGTTATAGTTATGGCAGACACTGCCAAATCAGCTCGCTGTAAAGAGAAGCATTTATTTGAAATGTCATGTACAACCATAGAGACTCACTCTTTAGGTAATGCGTGCCTTACAAAAATGCACACAAAAAAAATTCTAATCAGGTTTTTGGTGATTTTTTTCCCTAAACATCCTTAAAACAAGCAAAATTGTGTAAGATTTTAAGACTGTCCAGAGAATGCATCTAAAATGTTATTTTATTTCCCAACTGGCTTCTATCATACACTTTTTTTAAAGGCATAACCTCATTATATTTGGTCAGATTTATTCCAGGGTTGTCCTGCATCCCTGCTAAAATCAATAAATACAAATTGCCAGTGGGATAAGAAATTATATATATATATATATATATATATATATATATATAAAAATACATACATAATTGCTGTATGCAGGTCCAGTGTTCTGTCACGGTTTGCCTATTGTGTTGGAGAGAGGAGACGAGGGAGAATCTTTGAAGAGTCTTTATTGCACAAAACTGGGGAAACACACACATAGGTAATGGAGTAGACGTATAACACAAGACGCTAGACACAGGACACACTGGGCTTATAAACACAGGGAACGTAATCAGGGAGAACTGAAACAGGTGGAGTAATTAATCAAAAACCATGGAAACTAATGAGGGAACGCCTGAAATCAAAAGACAAGGGAGAAACTGGATAATGGGGAGCACATGGGGATCAAAACCACAAGACATAGCAACACAGGGGAAGTCCAAGGGCGTGACAATACTGCCACAGCAAGAACATTATCTGCTTATTCTGTTTTAAATAATAACACTTTTAAAGTCCAAATCACTTCATTTTACACTGTTACAGGCTGAAAATTAGAAAATATAGAAGTATACAGTGTGTGTGTGTGTTAAATATATATATATATATATATATATATATAGAAGCATAAAACGTGTTGCTTATTATCTGTTACCCCAGTAGGAAGACTTTAGAAGCTTTTACCTGTGCAGGCATGACTTCAGCATTGGTGCCACAGATTTTTACTCCAGCATATAAAAGACGTTCTATTTTAATTTTCAGATCATTTATCTTGAAAAACAAGACAAAAATACTGAATGAGAAAAAGATTTTTGCAGTAAAGTCATCATATTTGATGAAAGCAAGAAAACAAATGAAAACAAGACACGGAGGGGGAAAAAGTCTTAGTATGACATCAACATTATAGCTACTGTGTACAAGATTTCAGCCCTGGTAAAAGGGCCAGCTTTTTTAAATTGCTGGTCGATATAATATAATACATTAGACAAACAGTTTTGACAGATTCACCTCTCATTTTTTTTTCTGTTTATTTTAATGTTGAGCCCAATCTAGCTGTATGAACCCTCTAATACAGTCCAAGCAGAGTGGTTTGAAAATTGCACTTTGCAGTTCATTCCTCAACAATAACCTCTTAAGAGTGCAAGGTACTGGCCAAAATGCCAATGCAACCAATCACAGAATTAAAAGTTCAAGTAACACAATTATAGTGTTTTCTTGACTGATCATTGCTATAACTTCTAAAGTGTTCATGCCGATCCCCAGAACAAACTAACACCAGCATCCAAAACACAATATATGCTGGTGACCTTTTCAGCAGGATAATTTGAGAAAACAACAGGCAAGTATTAGTTGAGTAACTTTAATGGCTTTGGACATGCAAATACAAAGATGTTTAGAGCACTTGCCTTGTTTATGAGTTCCCCAATCATGCCATTCCAAGAGCCATTGGGGAGCTGAGAACCATATTTGCTGTCTGCCACCTGGTAGATATCATACTTGAATCCTAGGATCTTGGCCAAGGCATCCAGGACATCAATTGAGAAGCCTTTATATCTTTTGGGCTGTCCGAGGATGTTTTCTGCCACCATCACAAATGGATCCTCCTTTGAAGAGGAATATTGATTACCAAAAGGTACAAACAAATTTTAAATGGTTAATAAAACTTGCTTCAAGACTTTCTATGGCTCCCTGGAGAACCCTTTGTGTAGTAGATGCTTACTGATCTGGGAAAATTATTACAATTAGATCATAAGGAATAAGTACATTAGAAGCAGATTTTTTCTCTCACCCATGCCGGTAAAAAGTCTAATGAAAATAATTTTAAAAAATGGAGAATAGTTTATATTATATAGTTATATTACATAGAGTATAGTTTAAACAATATAAAATTGAGCTGAGAGTGCTACACTTTTATTTACGATGGTAGGCATGATCATAAGCTAAAATAGTTTGTATGCAAACATGCAAGTGCTTAGGGGTGTGTAGAACTTTGTGAATGAGGGACGTTTCAATTCCACTGAAATCTGCAGAGTTTAAGGGTTGCAGATTCTGTGCTCTGATAAGTACAAGAATATCGAGTACTTAAGTATTGACCGTGAAAAAAACAAAAACGTAATGATTAATTATTCACACATGTATGCATCACACCACATAACATAAATATTTTAAATGTTAAAATGATAAAAGTAAGTATTACCAATAACGTCACAACTTTAACCGTAACCCCCTGCATGCCATTCTCGATACGGCTCTCCTTTAGACTTCCATTCAGGCCATGGACAGAATCCCATGTAGCCAACTGCAGGACAAAGAAAACAAAACAGAAACAGGTCAACATTAGCACAGTTTATCTTCAATCCTTCTGTTTGACGTCAGACTTGGACAGTACATTAAGTGCTTATCTTAAGACATATTTCCAAATTAAACGGTATTTATATTTACAACAAATAAATAAATAAGGCAGGACTTGATCCATCAGAAATTGATTGGCTGGTGAAAAGTGGTTTCATTTTCATGCCAAGTTTAACTTTAACATAAATCTTGAAAACTCAGTCAAAGTGTAAATATGTAAAACCATTACAACATGCATAACGGCATGCATATTATGTGTGCCGCAATATTATGAATAGTACAAGAAAAAATTCAGTTGCCTTGAGTTGAAAATTAACTAAAGTGAAAATTATTAAATTCAATTCAATTATGATTCGGTTTAACACATTAACATGGCTCATATATCAGAATCAATATACACAATCCACATTGACACTATAAGCGATTAGTTATCAATATCAATGAGCTACATTTAATGACTTGATTTGGAAGACTAATCTCATTAATCATTAATTTAGTCAAATAAGCAGGTGATAATGAAGGTTAATAACATCATTTAACAATGAGGACCAAACTCATTTCAATGTGATGAGTGTTTTTCTTTGAGGTGTTTGCATTAGCTGTAAACACATCAAATTTGTTGCCATAGAACATACTTAGAAATAAGAAAAATAATATTTGCATGCATGTATAAAGTAGCAGGCATATCCCTTTAGGAGGCACAGCATTTTCTCTTCATTACTCTTCCATGAGGACAAGAACCATCTTGGTCTGGTTCCAGGTGGTGGCACTGGATCAAATTACAAAATGCATTTGATGACTGCATACTGCACCATTACTTTTTTTTTAAAGCCAATACTTGGTGTCCTTAGCCATAAGATATTTCTTCATTACAGTATGTACACAAACAGCCCTAGAGCAGGGGCACAGGGCAAAGCTTGTAATGTTGAAAAATGTATGAAATTCCTCATGTCCTTACTGAGCAACACTCTAAACGGTCACAAAGTGAAAAAAGACAAATGAAAGCATCTGTGAGTATGTGTGCTGGTGGGTTGGTAGGTGCTCTGTGTGAAGACTTGTCCTAAATTTAGAAATATACTTGTCACGATGCTGCTGCTACTACTACTGTCTCAGATACGAGGAGACAAATAATATAGAAATAACAGAATTCATTAAAACACACACACACACACACACACACA